CTGTTCTTGCATCCTGATCTTGCTTTCAGTGTGGCCGCTCCTTTCAGTGCTGCACCAAAGGGAATAGAGCACAGTTTACTGGTTCATACAAGCCAACAGTATCGGATACATGAAAAATTGGGTAAGTTGCTTCATTCGTTTCCTTCAATCATGTCTTAAAACAAGAGCTGTAATTTATCTAACTAATTTCTTGATACTTGTCAAAGTAGAAGGAAACTGATAAAAATTGTTACCACTGTATCAGGTACAGCCTTTATCACTAAGCGGTATAGTTAAACTGCTTGATAGCTAAGAAACAGCTCTTTCTATTTGACCACATGATCTATTTAGCAATGCCAAGTTTGTTAAAAGCCAAATTTCTGGTTTAGAAACCACAAGGATTCAGATAAGTTACAATAACTCTGAGACAAGGCTGCAAGGGACGAGGAACAAGGTAGTTCAACCTTCTCAATTAAGAGTCCTAGTACAAATACCGGAGAAAATTAGAAAGCATATGAAAAGAAGCATCAAGATAAGAAAATTACATGTGGCAGCTGAGGCCGTGAGGGTCAAGATGTCACTTGCACTAGTACCAGTCATGGCTGAACTAATTGCACTGTTAAGTTGGTCCTTCTTTGCCCCCATTGCTTCTGCAACTTTTGCACACTGAGCTGCGACCAAGGCGGCTGCAGAAGCTACTGCTGCTTCCTTGTCAGCGTTAGATGATCGGCCTCCCTTGGAGTTTTCTGCAGCTATGACTGCTAAAGCAGCTGCCACCCCAGCCACTGATATTGCTGCATGCACTTCTGCTGTTTGTACTCTCTGTTCCTCTTTCCTCCTCATCTTTATTTCTTTAAACCATTTCTTGATTGACACATTTTTCAGTGGTATTATCTGTTTCCACGGCATCTATGTGCAGAGAACAAAACAAAATCTATCAATGCCTCTTGAAAATACAATATTATCATCCACTGCAGCTGTATCATCATACATGTCAGCCCTACAAGATATAAACCATTGCACATAATGTTCTAAGATAAGGAAATAACGAGTCTCATACTCACTTAATCCTTTCTTCAACTCTTATCATAATACTTATACAAAAAAATCCATAAAGTGGATAATAAAACTTGATATTACTGATAAGCATGGCATTCGTGTGTTATATCAGTGCTTCATAGTAGACAGAACCATGATCGTAAAGTTCAAGTCTAAACAACTGAGGTTAGTTAATAATGTGCAGATGACATACCCATTTCTTTCTGAAGTAGCTGTTGTAATTCAACTCAGGATGCATTGCTTGCTGCATCCGTATCCATGACTGAAAATTCAGAAAAGAAAAGAAAACATGAGCAAAGTTTTTCAATATGATCCATATGTTATTCCATGAGCAAACAAAATTCCAGTTACCTTCACATCATTAGACTTCCATCCAGGGAGAGACCCAAAATCTGCATTTTCCATTCTAGCACTCTTTTCCATCTGTTTCAGACATATTTACATATTGAATTGAATATAGAACTAGGTGTGGGTGTGTGTGTTTTAAAACTGATTTCAAACAGTTTGACTCACTGTAGGACTAGCTGCGGGACTGCTCTCCAGTGGCTTCATTGGGTTATCAGCTAGGACAAGTGACAATCCATCTTGAGGCTCTGGTTGCAGAGCTTGCACAGCGAAGTTGCACCACGCACGTGACAGAAGATCCATTGTCTCTGGATGTGCATCTGATGGAGATAGATTGAAGTTGGAAGCCATGATGATAAGATCTTGGCTGATGAAGAACTGAGCTGTGTACAGTTTCAGAAATGCGTGTATAAGCAACAATGCATGCATATTTATAGAGACATGCTTCTTAGTCACAACACAAGCTTATCAATAGTCTGATCTCCAAATCCCCCAAAAGTATAAAAGAAATAGAAGACTTTTTAATAATGCAACATACCAACCCCAATAATCAAGATATTTTTATGGGGCTGTAAATAATAAAGTCAGCAAAGAGAGCTGCAGAAAAAAATGGCAACTTTTTCATCATTGCCATTGATCATATCGGCCCACTCCTTGAATTTTTTGCATCAGCTAAATGAAAGTGACAGTGTACATCATACATATGAATCCACTGGACAAGTGGCTACGTTAAGCGTCCTACAGCTGCAAGGGAACATACCCTGAAGTTTCTAGAGGACAGGAATTGCAGGGATGAGACATTAAAGTTGGGAAGGTCCTTTTAGATATGAGCATATTATCTTCATTTGAATTTTCATTTAGATACTACAGTAAAGCTATCCATTAATAAATATTGATACTGCATCAGTCTATCAATAGGAAACATCAAATTTATAATATACCGTGTGTGTGACATTAGTGGGTTGCAAATAAGGGGCCTAATTCTACTTGGGATTGAAAGAGCTGAGTTACATGGCAGATAGATTCTGATGGAAGAAGACAAGGCCTCAACATTGAGAGATTAGAGAAACAAACACATGGCAGCCATAATAGAACATTGTGGGCTCTCTATAGAGTATAGACTCAAAGGGACCTTTTGTTTCTGGCATCATTAAATGAAAGCCAAGGACTTGGGATAAGTGAGAAACATCTTTTAGATGATAAAATGATATGCCCCCATGCCAGAGTTATATAGTGCCACCACATTAACAAATTTGAGCTATTAATATTTCCTTTAAGCAAGATTTCAAGTCTAGATAAACTTGTTGCTTGGAGAACTTTACATTAAATTCACGTGATTTAAAACCCAACTCGATCTAAATTAGTTGGGATCCAACACAACTTTTGGAGACCGATTAATACTGCCAAAACTAGAAAATCAAACATTGAGATTGAAATTCTTTTGCCGAAAGCCACAATAGTAAAATTACCAAAATTGAAGAGAACACCTGTGCTGTAACTGTAATAAATATCATTAATACTTTAAGTTGATAGACTTGAGATATTCAAAACTCGAAAAGATTCGGATCCAAGAAAAACAAGCCAGAAATAAAAGGCAAAGGAGGGGCATGATGAGGAAGCACGGTGATGGGCCAATATTGTTGATGTAAAGGAGGTAGACGTGCATGATTGATATGATGAACTCTGAAAAAGAAGGCACCAGACAGGTATAATTACAGTCTATATTCGATCATTAGAATAATGAAACCATCAAGAAGCATACACACACGCACATATGTTCTTGTTTAATAAGCACGATGAAGATTAGAGCTTTTCTGTGGTCTGAAAAGAACCACATAAAGTTGGTAGTATTCTATATGGCGTATAGTACATTTTCCTCGAAGATCATCATGTTAATGACCTGTCAAATTTAATTAGGAAAATACTTGCGCTCTGTGTGTGTGTGTGTGTGTGTGTAAAACAGTTTTTGAGGAGACTGAAATTTTTAATTTGTGAAATGTGTTAAATAAACTTTAGATTAAAATTAGGAAAAATGACCAAAAAAAGGCTTGAATATAGAAAATTTCAAAAAGAGCCAACACTTCAAAATGATAGAAAAAGAGAAAAAGCCTGTGAAAAAATTAACAAGATACAAAACTTGAATTAACAACTTGAACTGAAAATGACTGTTCTGAATTACAAATGACAAATTGTGAACTAAAGATAACAACAATAAAACTCGAAATAATAATTTTTGAATTGAAAATGATAAATTCTGAATTGGTGATTAAAACTTGTTATTAGGATATAACTTATGAATTGGAAATAACATGTTGTGAACTAAAAATAACAACAATAAAAACTTGGTCACGCAATTGCATATTGGTCATTCCCCCATATTGGTCATTTCTTTTTGGAATTTCCAGTATTCAAAGTTCTTTTTTAGTCATTTCCCCTTAAAACTACAAATTGCACATTTTTATTGGTTATGTATGGACTTATTATAGGGAGTATTATTATTTATGACTTGCGAATAATATGATTTGCTTATGTTGTTGATTAATAATCGATAATAACCCAACGGTTGAGTCTACTATATTTAAGATTTCTTTCATTAAAGAATTTGTTAGAAAGGCTTGATTTTGCTGATTGGGGTTCATGTGACAAGCAGAGACTTCATGAGTTAGATGCTTAAGAGTGTCTCCTAAATTGTGTTTTGTAACTAACAGGACCACCAACAAAGATTCTGAGATCAATGTATTTGTCCTAATTTAATCATTAAAAATTGAGGCTGCTTTTTAAAGTCATGAGAACCCAGAGAATATTGATTTATAATTGAGGTACTTATGGTGTGGATTAGGAGGAATCTGGGTATCTTTTCATCTAATGAAGCAATCTATATATACACACTATAAAAAGATTTGAACCAATCATATTATTTATAAGGTGTAAAGAATTTAAATTACTATCTTCGATCATTAATATAAAAGTTAGATAATTAATTTATATATATTAAGAAAATTAGTTAAATTAATTGTTTGTAACAAATATGTATTTGTCTCAGCTCAAAAACAAACAAACAAACAAACAAACAAACAAACATGTATTTGTCTCTCTAAACTACTTTATTTAATCATGTGCATTCTTTAATGAAAACTTGTTTAATATGTATAATTAATAGGGATACTTTGAAAAGATTATAAATTTAAGAGATAAAATGGATTAACATATTATATTTAGATTAACTATAACTCACAATAAGCTCTTCTTCTTCTTTTTTCAACCAAAAACACGTAACTCTTATGGTAAGGACCGAAAGTAATATTTCTCAAATTATGTATAAAGCGCACTGAATAAATACTAAATTTTGGTAGAAACAAACCATAACAAGAATAAAAAATTATGAATCCTTACACTTTTTATACTTCTTCCTGTCCTCAATGTAAATGCTACATAACTTATTTACATTAATAAAATTAATTTAGTTATTGATATAAAAAAATGTACTGAGTTCCTTAATATACTCTTTTAATAATTTGTATTAGAAACTTCCTGTTAATATAAACCTCCCTTAATATTTATATATGTAATAAATTTGAAGGATAAAATAATTTAAAGCATCACAATTAAAAACTAAAACAAGTCCTCAGTTCGCCCCTACATTTAGGGGGTGTTTGGGTTTTTTTTCAAACCATGGTTTGGGGACCCAAACCATGGTTTGAAAAAAAATTTGCCAAACACCCATTTTTTTTAGGAAAACCAAGGTTTCTATGAAAACCATGGTTTTGGCCAGCCAAACCATGGTTTTCGTATAAGCTGGCAAATTGTGGATTGTGGAGAAATATGTTTGTTGAAATAATAATTGCTCCTGTCAGAGAGGCTTCAACAGTGGAAAACAAAATTCTCTCTCCTCCCATTCTGAAATTTGTCGCTGCCGGTGACAAATTATTTTATGAAAAACATATTTAGTTATTTTATTAATATATATACGTATTAATTTTAATTATTTTATTACTATATATTATTTATTAATATATATACATATTTAATTACTTTATTAAATTATTTTGCAAAAAAACATATTTATTTTATTAATATATATACGTAAGGTATATTTTATTAATATTATTTATTTACTTTAAATAAACATATATTATGAAATATATCTTATATGTAATTATCATTTAAACTTATGTCCTTTTTAGTAATTTCCACATATAAAAAAGCACTTCTGACAACAACTATCCAAACACTCTCACTTTATCAGAATCACTTTTTCAGAAAATCTATTCTTTCAAAATCTATTCTCTCCATAATCTATTCTCCAGAAGCTATTCTCCAAACCATGGTTTGGCTTTATCCAAACACCCCCTTAGAAGGGAACGATATTTTATATTGATATAACCTATTCGCAATTTTTTATGCGTATTTAAGGCTTCTACAGCTCGCACCAGACATATATGTCTTAAACTCAATATATCTTGCGCTTGATATCGACTTCTATAACAATATTTAAAATCTCGTGAATCATAAAAATAGATATTATTAAAAAAAAAAAAAAGCCTTTCACATTGGATTTTTGATATTGTGAAAGTAAAGAGGGAGATTGGACAGCAACAGATATGAACATCGATTGCAACCATTGGGGCCTCATTTACAGTATTGGATTGGGCATTTTTGGGGAGTGCAAAGACTGAGTTGTTTCTTTTTTTTTTTTTTGGGCCACGAGACAACCGACTCTCGTGGCATTACCCAATAATGAAGAGACATCGTTTGACCCAAAAAAAAAAGTTATTATATGTGAAGTAATGTTTTAAAAGCCAGATTGGATGTTAAACTAGAGAAGCTAACAGGTCATGGTTCATTCGGTCAGACCAGCGGTCAAACCGATGATATAATAATTAAATAAAAAATAATATTAGATACTTATATACTAATATATATAAAAAAATAGAATACTAAGTTGTCAAATAATTTAAAAATAAACTTAAGTAGTTTAATTTTATAATAAATTGACAACTTATAAGGGAATAACATATCTTAAAACTGCATATCTTTATCTCAGATAAAAGTAAAAATTAAATAAACAATGTGTAAATTTCAAAAAATTTAATAAAAGTAAAAACACAAAGAATCAAAAATAAGGGGGAAAAAGAAAATGCATAAATATTTTGAATTTAAAAAGATGCTGGTTGGTCATTCGAAATGTCAAAGATTAATGAAAGGATTCATTTGTGTCGATGAATGTGTTTAGCTGGCGAGTGAAATTAAATTTATGTACATTGAAAATAAAAAACCAGCAGAAATACTAGTAAAAGTGGCTGAAGAAAGAGAGTATTGATGATTGCCTTTTTGTGTGTGTTCATTTTCACTCTCCTCTTCTCACTTCTTTCCGT